CTCATCATTCCAAAGAAATGAAGACTCCAGTCAGTCTCACAAAAACCTGTGTGTGACTGTTAGGGCAGTTTTATTCATAGCAGCCCCAAGCTAGAAATTACAACCTTCAGCTAAGGGGTGGCTGGAAAAGACGAGGTATGCTGCAGGGAACAGACTGCTGGTGTACCCACCAACCTGGATAATCGCCAGCGTTACACCGAGTGGAAAAACCACTGAGGGGGCCCGTGTGCACGGATCCATATCTATAGCAATTTGGAATGGTAAAATATGGACACAGAGAGTGACGGTTACCGAGAAGGAGCGAGTGTAGGGCGAGGGAAGTGACGCAGTGTGAAAGCACCTGGCATCTGAGCCTGCGGAGTACTCTGTGTCGTGGCCAGATGCCGTTGTGACACTGTACTATTGTCTACAGGACGACGGGTACCATTGTGGGAAACCCAGGAAAGGGGGTACGGGAGTTGTTTTATTGTTTTTCAGTGCTAGGGACCAAATACAGTGCAACCACACATTGTGGGTTAAGAAGTCTACCACTGAGCAATTCCCCCAAGCTCTGAAATTGCTCTTACAATTGCATGAGAAGCTATGGTTATCTCCAAATAAAGTGCTGAAGTAAGACAGACTTCATAATATTTTTTATTTTTATTTTTTTCCATTTATTTGTTTATGGTCTTTTTGAGACAGGGTCTCCCTGTGCAGTTCAGGCTGGCCTTGAGCTCATTTTGTCGCCCAGGCTGGCCTCAAACTTGCAGCAATCTTCTTGCCTCAGCCTCCTGAGGGCTGGGATTCCAGGCATGTGCTGCCACCACACCCAGCAAAAATTTTACAGTTAAAAAAAACTATTGTGAGAGGGTCATATTTTAAAAGGTGCTACATATTTTTAAATCTCACAGTGAAATAGATATATTCTTCTTGACCTTGGCGTGAGGCATTGCTGCTTATAGTTTTCATAGACTGATTAAGCACAACTTCATACATCGCAGCAAGAAGCACTTAGTCCTCCGTATCCAGGGCATATGTAGCTGTGAACTCAATGATTATGTACAGAAAATACTTTTTAAAAATTATAGCCAGACACAGTGGCATGTACCTGTAATCTCAGCACTTTGAGAGACTGAGGCAAGAGGATCACCAGTTTGAGCCCAGACTGCAATGAAGCAAATTGGCAATTTCCTGTCTCAAAATAAAAAATTAAAAGAGGGCTGGGGATGTAGCTCAGCACAAGGGTTCTGGGTTCCATCCCTAGTACCACAAATTTAAAAAATAGTGCTAATAATGTACTGGATGTACACAGACTTGTTATTGCTATTATTCCCTAAACTATAGTATAGCAACTCTCTTACATTGCACAGTAGCAGATATCATAAGTAGTCTACAGACGATTTGAAATATACAGGAAGCTGTGCATAGGTTGTATACAAACACTATCTCATTTTATTTAAGAAACTTAAGCATCCCTGTATTTTTATATGGGGGAGGGTCCTCCAGTTACTTCCCAAACAATCATCAGGAACAACTAACTACACAGTACCTAACTGCAGTGAGCTGAGATTAGTTTTTGGTGGGCTCAGTGCAAACCAGGTCTTCTCACCTGAGTGGGCCTGTGGCAACTTCCCGTCACTGTCCTACTATCCTTACACAGAGAGCTCAGCTCTCGGGGAAACGCTGCCAGAACCCCAAGTGGCATGGAGGCACTGCTCTGACCAGCCATGCCTCGAGGTCGGCTAGATCACTTCAACCCCTTGAGGTTCAGGAGAGGGGAATCCGTGGTGCACAGCTGGTAATGATACGTAGCCGAGGGCCAGTAAGTCAAGCCATGGCCACCACAGTGTAAACTGCTTATTCTTGAAATAGTTCGGCCGTGAGATCTCAGGCACGTTTATTTTTGGTTTCTCCAATCTAAGCCGCTGAGCTGTGACCCCATCAGTACCTCCAAGTTCTGCGCTGAGAAGCCAGGCGGGTGTGGTGGGGTCCAGAGAGCTTCAGACTGGGAATCCCCCAAGGTTGTAAGCATCACCCTGTCTACCGTTTCCATCATTCAAGGCTGTGAAGGGCCTGCAAACAGAAAAATTCTTGACTTGGCACATCAGTAAAAGAATGGTGTGAAGTAGGGCTCCTCAATCTTTCCCTTCCTTGCCCCCTAAAAATGCGGAAACCTGGGTATCCCTTTGCCTATTTTGAAAGTGACAGTTGCACTTGGATGGCACCCCGCAGACCAGACCGTCAGCATGGGGTGTTTTAAAATAAAACTGGTAGCATTCACTGTATCTATTAGAATCTGAGCAACATAGTAATTTGACACCATCCTTCATTTTTAAAAAACAAAAGCACAGTCCTCTGACAGAAATGTTAGATTGTTTCCTTTACACCTAGCTTTCATGTCACTTGCTGTCCAGAAAAGTATTCATCCCAGCCAGCGCCCTAGGAAGCTGAGGCAGGAGGATCACAGGTTTGAGCCAGCCTCTGACATTCAGGAATTTAGGGAGACCCTGCTCAAAAGAAAAAATAAAAGTAGAAAGGGTTAGGGATGTAGCTCTCTGCGAAGACCCTGCTTCAATTCCCAGTACCAAACACACAAAAATTACATTCTGAACATCAAATTTTTATGCTTGGACATTTTAACACAGTGTCCTAACATATTTTATGAAGCAGATGTGTATATGTCAACTGATTTTATAACTGAAAAAAATCTCGTGCCTGTTAAGTCTCTCAGTGTTAAAACATTGGGGGTCTGTTAGCATTACCACTATGAATAACAGGATAAATATGCATTTACTGATGGCTAAATATGAAACCTTACAATAATATTGAAAACTGTTTTTTTAGTAGGAGGGGGAGAATGGGCTACAGTCCTGCACGTTTTAAGTCTTACACGGCATGCGCAGCAAGTTTAGTGTTAATAGTAAACTGAATATTATTGTACCGGATGGAGCTTGCACTGGAGGCCCTTGGCCCTCATTTTTGACTTTGAGCCCTGAGGGGCCCTGTTCACATGTGAGGGCTGAGAGATCTGGGTATGATGACGGCTGGAAGCAGTGAAAGGGAAGGAAAACTGACACAATACAGAAGGACAGAGTTCCCAAAGGGGACCCTGAGATGATGGAGTCACTGCAAAGCTGGGCCACCTTCGCAGGGAACCCCAGCCTGCCTGTCCTCAGGCCCATGACCTGCAGCACCATGCAATTCTTTGATCTCCTTGTAGTCACAGAACAGGTATCAGTCAGAGATTTTCCTTCAAGACTTATTCCACGGGGGAGCCAGAGGTGTGACACACGTATAATCCCAACACTCTCGGAGGCAGAGGCAGGAGGACCACAAGTTTGTGCTGGGCCTGAGCAATTCAACACTTAGCAAGACCGGGCCTCTGAAAGGAGGGTAGAGGGGCGGCTGGGATGTGGCTCAGTGTGAGCACCTCACATTCAGTCCCCCTTCTGGAGAGAAGCGGTCCGTTTGGGGAAGGCCATGCGTGCGTGGTGAGGGCGGCAGCGAAGCATGCTCTGTACTCTCTACTTTGCTGTGCTATGAACTCTACTTTCAGACATTATCTTGGCTCTGGAAGATGCTTCAAGCCAGGGCAAGGCCTTGCTTTCCTGTGTTAGAGGAGAGCAGGTGTGCTAAACTGCCAGAGAAGATGGGAAACTGGGGACCCAGTGTGAAGTCACCCTTAATCTTTTTTGGGCAGAGCTAGACACCAATCCCCTTAAACTCTGGGCCCTTTGGGATACAGTGTTTAAACATAACTGGTAGAAGGTGCTTTAACAACTGCCTCAAACACCAGGACTATAACATCGAGGGGTTTTTTTTTTAGCAGTACTGGGGACTGAACCCAGGGCCTCTGCCCTGAGCTACATCCTCAGCCCCTTTTCATTTCTTATTTTGAGATGGTCTCCTTATGTCATTAACTTGCTCCATCCAGGCTCCCCCTGCCTGCCTCAGCCTCCCAGAGTCAAGAATGATAGATGTGCACCAGTGGGTCCCGCTCAGAGTTTAAGACGTGGCTGTCCTAGATTCACACCGACCTGGTGTCCAGGGTCGATCTGGCAATGCCATGGAATCTGCATTGTTCATTTTAAGAGGTGGGAAAAGGTGAGACCTTAGAAAGGAGAAGAGCTTGACTGGGCACTTTCCGACTGACCGGGCTCCCACACGCAGGAGCGCTGTCGGCAGTGGCAGCCCCGCCTGTTTCCATCCCTTTACCCAAAGCAAAGGTGAAGGCAAACAGCAGAAGTGACCCAGCACAAAGGCAGGGAGGCCCTGGAGTCGGTGGTGGGTGCACAGGTGGTGTGGGGCGAGCCCCATCTGTCTCCACCATGCCAGGCTGTGATGCACCCCCCAAGTGCACGGCACCACGGTTCATAGCAACCACGTGGCCTAGGAACTGGCAGCAGACAAAGGGATAAAAAAAGCAGAGTGTTGCTGTGTCACAGAGTACTGTCCAGCCCTGAAGAATGATGTCGTGTCATTTGCGCAAAGTGGATGCAATTCGAAGGCACCGTGTTCAATGAAATAAGCCAGATACAGACAGACAAGTACCACCATGCCCCTGGATGTGGGAGCTAGCAAGGTTGGCTGGAATGTAGGCCCATGAGGATGGAGGGTGGGAAGGGTACAAAGAGCACAGGTGAAGAGGCTGGGTCTCATCCTGGTGACCATGTGACATCATGCGGAAGCTGCCACTGTGCACAGTTGATGTGCGTTAATAAGAGCGGCAATTGGCAAGTCGGCACCATGCACAGGCAGCTGGGGCAGGAGGACAAAAGCCCAACAAAAAGCTAAGCCCTCCTTGTCATTGGTGCCATGTGCAGGCTGCTGAGGGGAGAAGCAGACACCAGCCCCTTTCAGAGTGTGGGCTGGGAGGCACGAAGACCAACACCCCTTCCCCTACCCCCTTTTCTCCCTCTCCTCTCCCCTCCCCTGCCCTCTCACCCCACTGTAAGCTGATCCAAAGAAACACAGGCTGTGATGATAGCTAATGAGGTAAAATACAACTTAATGCTCGTAGAGTTTAGAGTTTTACTGACTTTGCAGGCCTGAAGCGGGTGGTGCGATCAGCTTTTCAGAGGATAACAATACAATGCAGCATCTATTAGAAGGCTGTTGTTAACTTCCTATTGTCTTGTTCTGAGGTCCGTATCATTTTCATTGTTTTGTTAGGTTGCCTTTTATTGTTTTGTTTTGTTGGATTTCATTATATCCGATGGCATGGGCAACTATTTCAAAGATTGCAAAGTATATTATGGTAGCCATTTTGGATTTACTATTATCTTGTTTTGAAGTCCTTTACTGTGTTCATTGTTTTGTTTTTATTGGTTCTATTCTGTTTTGTTTGATTTTACTATGTCTGATGGTATGGGCAGCTATTTTGAAGACAACTTCAGGACTCATGAAAGATTCCAAAAGCTTCCAGACAGGACAAAACACAGGCCACATCCCCAGAAATCATGGAGTTACAATGGTACCTGGATTTTTAAAAAATGGTCTATGTCTGCAATATATAATATTTATATTCATTTGGGGAAAGATTTCTGAATAGCAGACATGGAAGCTGTGAGACAAAAAGACCAAGGCTGCTGGACATGGTGGCCCAGGCCTTTAATTCCAGGACACTGGGAGGCTGAGGCAGGAGGATCACAAGTTCAAGCCCAGCCCAGGCAATTTAGTGACTTAGTGAGAGTTTGTCAAAAACAGAAATTAAAAATAAAGGGCTGTTGATGTAGCTAAGTATGAAAGCCCTGAGTTTAATCCCCAGAACTGAGAAAAATAAATTCTATAAAGAAAAAAATGGTTTATAACCTAGAATTCTCTATGCACCCCAAGAATATTACAAATAAAATTATCAATTACCATAACCCAATCATGAAGCTAGAATAAAGATAGTTTTCAGACAAACATTGCCTCAGAAAACTCATTTCCCATTCACCCATTCTTCAGATGTGCTGGAAGATGTGCTACTTCAAATGGGGAAACACAGAAAGATGGCCGGAAAGCCAGGCTGCAGGGTCCAGGCAAAGGGTATCGTGGGTGGAGTGAAGTCTCAGAGATGAAGTAGACCCCAGCACAGCTGGAGAACTGAGCAGTTCGGAATAACTGGAAAAGAAAACCAAACAGACAGTAACAGTAACCGGGCCAGGGTAGAGCCCTCTCCTCAGACCACAATCGGATCCAAACAACCCACATCCTGGCAACAACAGCACAGTTACTAACCCCGAGAAGGAGAGCAGCTCTGGAAAGGAAAAGCCATCACAGTGAGCTCGGGGCTCTCGGTGAGCGCTGACTGGTAAAACTCACCCAGCTGGAAGGTGGAAGAATGAGAGCTAAGAATCTCCTGTGTCATAACAAGAGAGCTGCAGAAGAAAAGCTTGCAGCTCAGCTTACGACGCTCAGATGGAGGACAGTGTAAGAAAGCTCTCAGGAAGCCTGGGCTTGCTCCTGGGCAAGAGGCCATCGAGGATCCAACCACGGCCTCGCCTGCGCTAAGCACACTGTTGTCGGGGGTCCTTACCAAATGGCTCAGAAAAAAAGAAATGGATCACCAGTGAAAGGTATTCCCAGCCCTTCTCGCCTCAAACAAGAAAGTGGACAAGACAAGCCAAAAAGCGGTGCCGAAGTTTGTTTGAAAAGTGAAGGAGCTGGGCGTGGTGGCGCATGCCTGTCGTCCCTGGTCCCAGTACTCGGGAGGCTGAGACAGGAGGATCCTTGCAAGTTTGACACCAGCCTGGGGTAAAAAGTCTGAACTGCATAGCAAGGCCCTGTCTCAAAAAGAAAGCGGGGTTGGGGAGAGGAAAAAACTGGCTCTGCAGAGCAAACTTGGGCCAAACAAAAGCAAAAAGAAAGGCGCTCTCTGCATGGAAGATGCAGCGTGAACGACCCTGAGGAGTCTCTGCAGCTATGAGGGCTCCCTCTGTGCCGTCCACATCTCCTGGGCCTGCAGGAAGCCGCAAGCAAGGGCCTGGTGTCCTGGATGCGGGGTGCTGACCTGGGGCCGCGTGATCCGCAGGTCCCGCTCGTTTCCCAGCCAGCCGGGCCTCGCTGCCTCCTGCCTCACATCAGTCTGTTCCTGTTTTTCTGCAGGCATCGCAGCATTTTCTAGTTTCTACTAGAAAACTCCAAAATGTAAGCCCCGCCCCGCCACCGACCCGCGGGCGCCCGGACAGGTCGGGTTCCCCATTCCAGCGCCCCCTGCGCCCCTGGCGCGGTGAGGGCGTCGCTCGGGGCGACGCCGCCTGAGTGACGGCCGGCCTTGCAGAGGGACACAGCGACGACTCCGCAGGGAGCGGCACCACCCGGTATCAGAGCAGGGAGAAAGGCTGGCAGAGGGCCGGCTCGGCGGCGCGGTGGGAAAGGGGAGGGACAAGGTGCTGTGACTCCGAGGGCGGGCGCACCTTCCCGGTTCACCTCGGGTGACTCTGACAAGAAGGTTGGTAAGAAGGTGCCATCGGCCTGCACCATTTGTGCCAGCTGCAAACTTTAGAAGCCCTGGACAGCGGCCACAGCGGGGTTTCCTTCAGTCCCTACATCTGCGGGGTGTCGCTGGAAACTATGGGGGGGAGCACTGGGAGGGAGGACAGGAGGCAGCCAGGCAGGAAGACTCCAAGCAGGTGGACACTGTGTCAGCATGACTGTGGCCAGCTGGGGAAAGGGTCAGCCTGCCTGGTGGTGCCCACGGCCCCTCTGGAGACGCCTGCCTCTCCCCACCCAGGGCCTGAGAGGAGTCCTCTTGAGGCTGGGCCCACAGGTGGGCGCCTGTCCAGCACCCACCACCTGACCTGCAGAGCAGGCCTTAGTGCATCTGTGACCCATGCCTGGCCAGTTTGTCAGCTTCCCTGGGACATTTCAAATTAGAGCCACATTCAGGAAGCAGTCTCTTGTGTTGGTGAAGCAGAAATGACCTCCAGTGGGTAGAGAAAGTTACTCTGCCCTGGGAGGAGAAAGCAATATTAAGCCTTCTAGCCAGGAGTGGTGGTGCACACCTGTAATCTCAGCTATTCGTGAGGCTGAGGCAAGAGGGTTATACCTTTGAGTTCAACCCGTGCAATTTATTGAGAATCTGTCTCAGAATAAAGTTATAAGAAGAAGGAGAGGAAAAAGAAGAAGCAGAAGAAGAGGAGGAAGAGGAAGACAAAGAAATACCTGGCACACACCTGTAATCCCAGCACTCTGGGAAGCTGAGGCAGGAGGATTGCAAGTTTGAGCCCAACCTGGGCAACTTAGCAACTTAGCAAGACTTTGTCTCAAAATAAAAAATAAAAAGGTTGGGGATGCAGTTCAGTGCCTCTGGGGGAAAAAAGTGAAAAGAAAGAAGAAGAGGTTAGGAGGTAGCCCTGTGGTAGCATAAGTAAGGCCCCAAATTCAATCTCTAGTTTAAAAAAAAAAAAGCCTACCTGGGGTTGAAGAGTCCTTAATCAAATCTCATCTTTTCCTTAAATTAAGTTGAATTATTTCTGTGGCCTGTAACCAAGGTTCCTACCCAATGCTCCAAACCTGTTCCACTCTAAAAATCCGCATCTTCTCACCTATTGCACTACTGAAATTTTAAATAAATCTGTAAGGAACAAAACAAAGATGTCCGCTCTCATGCCTCCGCAGCACACGACAAGAGACAGAAATGAAAGGGTCCAGGAAGAAAGGGAAAGGAGAAGGGAAGCATCAGATTAGCCTCACTGGCAGATCATGTCCTTGGCTTGGAAGGCACTCAGGCTCTACCGACAGACCGAAAGACCTTCAGAGCTGACAGACAAATTCAGCAAAGCAGCAGGATACAAATCAAAGGTTAAAAAAATTGATAACTTTTCTATACATTAATGAATTAGCTGAGAATTAAAAAAATTACATTCACACTAGCTTAAAAACATTAACCTAGGAGTCAAACTAAGCAAGTGAGTGCAGGACAAGAAAGCTATGGACCTCTAATGAAAGAAACTGAAGAAGATACTAAAGGATGGGAAACATCTCCCACATCAGTGGGTTGCAGAAATGGCCATATTATCAAAAGTAATCTAGAGTAATTAAAAGTAATCAATGCAATCTCCATCAAAATTCCAGTGACATTCCTCACAGAGCTACAGGGGGGAGGGGCGGGGACCCTAAAATTCACATGGAGTAAAGATCAAGAAGAGCCAAAACCATTCTGTGCATAAAGAGCAAGGCCAGAGATACCACAATACCCAATTTCAAAGCCATAGTAACAAAACACCACAATACTGATGCAAAAATAGACACAGACCAGTGAAATAGAATAGAGGACACAGGAGCAAACCCACACACCTACAACCATCACAACGAAGGAGCTGAAAACATACATGGGAGGAAAGATCTGAAAGAAAGTCATTTTGCTTAAAAATAAATGGACAGTGGGGCTGAGAGAGGAGCTCAGGAGTGCAGCGCTTGCCCAGCCTGCCCAAGGCCTCGCCTCAATTCCTATACTCAAAGGTATAACCCTCTTGTCTAACAAATGGTGCTGCGAAACTGGACATCCATCTGTAGAACACTGAACCTAGATCTGTCTCTCACCCTGTACCAAACAATTCAAAATGGGTCAAAACCCTAGATATAAAACCTGAAACTGCTAGATGAAAACAGGGGAAATGCTGGAAGCCATAGGCACAGGCAAAGTCTTCCTATGTAGGGCTTCAATAGCATAGGAAATAATATTCAGAATCAACACATGGGACTATGTCAAATTAAATAGTTTCCTGCATTGCAAGGGAAACAACCAACAGGTAAAAAGACAGCCTATAGAAAGGGAAGAAATCTAGCCAGCTGCTCTTCTGACAGAGGGTTAGTGTCTGGAATATATAAAGAACTCAAAAATCTTTATACACACACACACAAGACACCAAATAGCCCAATCAATAAATGGAACAAATGAATAGAACACACACTCTTCAAAAGAAATACAAATGACCAATAAGTACATGAAAAAAAGCTCAACATTTGTAACCATTCAAGAAATACAAATCAAAACTACAATGTGGCTGGGGATTTAGCTCAGCAGCATAAGTGCCTGCTTGGCAAACCCGAAATCTTGAGTTCAATCCCCTGTACAAAAAAAAAAAAAAAGAAAAAAAACTTACACTGTGGTCAGGAATGATGATACACGCCTGTCATCCCAGCACACAGGAGGCTGAGGCAGGAGGGTGACTATGAGTTCAAAGCCAGCCTGAGCTACATGGTTCAAGGCCAGCCTGGACTACTGAGTAAGATTATGTTTCAAAAACCAAACCCAAAACAAAACTACAATGTTATTCTTTCCCATCAGTAGAAAAAAATGGCTATTATCAAGAATACAGAGAAAATAATAAATGTTGGTGCAATGCAGGGAGAGGAGAAGGAACTCTTCCACCCTGCTGATGGGAATGCAGATTAGTACATCCACTATGGAAACTAGTACGGAGGGTCCTCAAAAAACTAAAAACAGGACCACCATATGACCCTGTGTACCACTTCGTGGATGTAACCAAAAGACTTAAAGTCCACACTTCAGGGATATCTGTATGCTCATGCGTACTGCAGCACCAATCACAATGGCAAGACGAAACCAGACTAAAAGTCCACGCCAGGTGAGTGGATCAGGGAAATGTGCTGTGTGTGTACAGTGCAGCGTTGCCCGGCAAGCTCTGAAGAATTAAATCATGTCATTCACAGGAAAACAGACGAAACTGAAGATCACTGTGTTAAGTGAACTAAGCCAGACTCAGAAAATCAAGCAGTATGTCCTCCCTCATACGTGGAATTTTTTAAAAAGGCATAAAAGTAAAAAAATAAAAATAAAAAGACATAAAAGTAAAAGAACGATTATTATTAGACAACAGAAAAGGAGTAAGGTAGGGGAGGTGGTTTAAGGCAGAGTAGTGGTGGAGGAGAAGATGAAAATATGTATACAGGTGCATATATATCTCAATCAAACTTGATAGCCAGTATTTTGCAAAATTAATAGGCTCTAATAAAAATACACTTTAAAAACGACATGAAAAAATTTTCCCAAAGGCTGTGGGTCTAGCTCAGTGGTGGACTGTATGCCTAGTATGCATAAGACTCCGGGGTTCAATTCCCAGTTCTGACACAAATGATGTTTTGAAATAAGTTCCGAGAATTAGGAAAAAAATCCACAATTTGAAATACAACTTTCGATGTTTTCATGTTTTGTTGGAGCCAAAGAAAGTCATTTTGCTTAAAAAATAAACGGACAGTGGGGCTGAGAGAGGAGCTCAGGAGTGCAGCGCTTGCCCAGCCTGCCCGAGGCCTCGCCTCAATTCCTAGCGGTGCAAAAAATGAATCCGTGCGGCTGGGGATTTAGTTCAGCGGCATAAGCGCCTTCCTTGCAAACAGGCAGTCGTGAGTTCGATCCCCGGTACCGATAAAAAGGAAAAAGACAAAAAAAAAAAAAAATCTGTCAGTAAATAAATTGATATTTACCGTTTTCTAAGCATTTGCTCCAGATCATTTAACGACGAACCTCTTGGTCACATATTAGTGCAATGGAATCTGTGAGATGTGGCGCCAGGCTCGCCGTGCCCTCAGTACTGTGGTGGGGCTTCTCAGGGTGTTTACTGAAAGTCTGCTTCTGCCCCTGAAGCTCGTGCCCTGACTGACGGCTTCCGCGCGGCCGCGTCTACGCGATCCAGGCCGGGTCTGGATCCTGCGGCGAAGAGGAGCCTGCCGCTCCCGGCCGAGGATGGGACGAGGCCAGCGCTGCGGGGCGGGCACGGCAGGGAGGGAAGACGCGGAGAGAGACGCGCGGGGCGCTCACGCGCGGGGCGAGGGGAGACCTCGCGGGAGCTGAAGCCTGCGGGGTCACGGGGTCACGGGGTCACGGGGTCACGGGGCCGCGGGAGCGGGAGGAGTCCGAGCCCAGCAGCGCCGACGCCGCCGCTCGCCACAGGCGCTCCAGGCCAAGGGCGATCGCGAGGAGGAGGAGGAAGAAGAGAGGACGGGGGAGGGGCGGGGGGAGGGTGGGGGAGGGGCGGGGGGACGGGAGCTGCCCGCGGCTCGTGGGTCGTCGGTCGGGGCGCTGCTGTCTCGAGCGTCTCGCCACACGGCAGCGCGGCGACCGCGGGAGTCTGCTTGGTTGGTTTGTTTGATCCTTTTGCAAGCTACCTGCAGAAGTGAGCTGCGCCCGCAGGGACCAGTGACCCGAACCTTCACCCCAGCCCTGCGTGGAGCTGCAGGTCCTTGCAGACAGCTCTGGAGCACCCGCAGGGATTTTCTAGGCTTCTTAGCGCCCTGTCTTACCAGACTTGAACTACTGCACCCTACAGCACAGGGCACGACTGTGGCTTACAACGGACAATGGGCGATTGCGGCCGAAACCGCCTGGCCTTTATTTTACGAGAGGCTGCGAGAGAGGAGCCGGGCAGCTCCAAACACAGAGCCCTGATGGAGCTGGAACCTTAACTGCCCTGGCTTGCTCGGTGCATGCTGCGTGAATGGACTGAAATATGGCACCGCACCCCATGAATGTGTCAAAATTTTTTCTTTAAACCCATGGCTTTATAGTTACTTTTCAATCCCTGTTTGATCACCACTGGAAGAACAATTCCATTTAGAAAACCAGTAGAGGGTTCTGTGAAGGACTTTTTTCTTTTCTTTTTTCAAATCCATTTTATTTCAAGAAAAAAAAAAGAAAAAACAAAATTTCAAAACACTGCAATCGGGGGCTACAATGATACATACATTGTGCATTGGCATCCCCAAATCATTCACCCAGAGCATATCAATTTTTTTTAAATGTTTAGAAGATGGAAATGTTAAGGACCCTGATTATACATTGTACATTATACATCACATTATATGCCATATCCCTAAACTCGTATAATTAAAATGTTTGATTTTTAAAAATACTATACATTTTATCTTTATATTGTATAGGAATTTGGAGGGAATTTGCTCAAATAGGAATTAAATAAAAATGACAGAATAAACTTATACTTTGCTCTCCTAGCTTTCCAGAAATTTCAAAAAAAATACTAATAGGTTTGGAAATACTGTACTGCTGACTTTAACATATGGACTAACTTATGTTTCAAAAGATTCATTAAATCTCCATTTAACCAGCAAGCTTTATTTATCAGCCTATTAGGCTAATCCATCAGGATCAATGATATTCTTGCTTAGGAATAGTCATTGAAAGGACAGAAACCCGAGAAACCAGAGTTTTGCTCCCCCAGATTTGTTGCTGACTTTCTGAGTAATGTTGAGTAAGGCCCAGGTGGAGGAAGGGAGGAATGAGAGAAGGAACAACTAAAGGAAAGGGGAAATCAGGCTTGTGCTTTCCTGAAAGTGGGAATGTGCGTGTGTGCACCCAGGTGTACACACACACACACACACACACACATATGGGTGCGTGTGCGCACACACACAGAGAAAGAAAGAAAGTCATGGGCAAAGCAGGTTGATCTCATAACCTTGGGGACCTTACCTTCTAGGGAAGGAGAAAGATACTAAAATAAATCATTAAAGTATAGGACAGAGGGTGTTGCCTGGTGGTAACTGCCCCCTAGCACTCAGAAGACTCGGGCAGTTCAGACGTGTTCTGCCATACTTTGCTTTTGGGTAAGTGTCCCTGAAGGGCCGTGGATTAAAGGCTTGGATCCACCCTTGGTGCCACTGGAGGTGGTGGGACATTTTAAGAGTCAGGGGACGTGGGTCTGAGTTACTGGGGGTTCCCCCAGGGGACTGTGGGATACAGTCACTTCCGCTTTCTCTCTCCAGCCATGAAATGAGTGGCTTTATTCTACTCTACTCACCTGCTGCACCACAGGACAGAAGTAATGGGGCCACCAACTGAAATTAGGGCAAGGTGGTGAGGCTGGACAGTGGGGCGTGACCTGTTGGTCAGAGAGAGCTGCTCAGACTGGGCCGGACCGGACCAGACCTGACAGCACAGCAGGAAAAGGATGTGAAAGTTGGCGGCTCCTGGGTCTCATGGCCACTGGCATCTTTCCCAGTGGCCACTCTGTGTGCAGATTGTATTTTTTCTTCCCTTCTTCAGAGCACTTCTTTCCCTCTTTTTAAAACTACTCCCTACTTTTTTTGCCTGTAACACCTTTAATATTGTCAATAAATGATAAACTTTCAAGTTCACCAATTGTCCCATCCAATTCTTTGACTGGCACAAGAACCTGGCCCTACTGACCCCCATGCCATTTGCCAGATCATGGTCTGAAACTAAAACCATGAACCAAAATAAACCTTATCCTCTTTGTAAATTATTTATCTCAGTTATTCATTATAGAAATAGAAAACAGACTAAACATATGCGGTTATTTGTTAATAATAAATGCTGAAAGGAAACCTTGTAGCACTCGGGGGGGGGGGGCGGAAGGGAAGAGGAGGTGGTGTTTTACAAGCAGTAGGCAGGAAATGTCTCACAGAGAAGGTAACATCTGAGTGAAAATCTGAGGGTGAGGAGGAAGCCAGTCCCGGGGAGATCTGGCATAAGACACAGAATAGCAAGCGCTCAGCCAGGGGCCAGATGTAGGAGATGGGGAACAGAAACCAAGCAGGTGCCCAAGACCTAGGTCCTTCCTAGTGCGGCTGTCTGGTTTGTGACACCTTCTGCTTCACTGTCAGCCACAGTGCAGTCCCTCGCTGAGTTTGGGTGCTGTGAGGAGTTACTGTCACACGAAGCTGAAAGGAAACCTCAGTTGATTCGTTCACTTATTAAACAACAACAACAACAACAAAAATATTTAGGTGATTTGTTGCAACACCAATTACTAAATTCTTTCGGGAAAACAATTTTCAAGAGCCTTCAAGTATTTTTAGTTTTTAGTCCAGTGATTTCTGTGCTAAATGGAAATCTATCCAAGGGAAATCATTGGAAAAGCAGATGAGAAAAAATTATACACAATGTGTTTTGGGCTGAATTGAAATTTACACATTAAAGCCCTAACTTCCTGTATGATCAGATTGAGAACTCAGGCCTTTCTGGGGATGGTAGTTTAAAACACACCCATCGGGATGGGTCTGAGCTGTTCTGTCTGACGTCCTCCTAAGAACAGGATATTTGCCCAGGCAGAGACACTAGGGCCATCCCAGGGCCTAGGACAGACAAGGTGAGGACGGAGCAAGAGGGTTGCCTCCTGCAAGCTAGGAACAGAGGCTGCAGAAAGACGTGCCCAGGTGGCCCTTGGGCCTTGGACTTCAGCCTCCGGCACTGTGTCAGGAAACTACACTGCTGCCTAAGGTGTGCAGTCTGGGATACTCTGTTACAGAAGCGAATACCAAACTAATGCGTAGTGAGTTTTTAATCATTATATACATAGACAGGTTTAAAATACAGAAAACATCTGAAATAGCCTGAATATTCAATAATTAGGAAAAAAATATTATATCATCACTAAAATGGAAAAATATTTATGAAATAATATGTACAAAAAAGAGAGCAAGATATATTTTGTGTGTGCAATTTTAACTATATTGTATAATGCCTACAGAAGAAAAATAAGCTAGGAACAAAACTTTTAATTTTATTGTTAATAACTGTTACTGTTATTCATATTATCCTTTCTTAATTAATGAGTTTAAACTGCCTTTGGCATTAAAAAAATTCTTTTGATTGCCAGCATCATGAAAGAAAGAAAAAAAATACATGCTATTCAAATAAGCAAGTTGGGCTGGGCATGGTTCCAAATACCTGTAGTTCCAGCTATGCAGGAGGCTGAAGCAGGAGAATTTCAATGTACAGCCCAACCCAGGGGAAAGGAGTGGCGATGTAGCTCAGTGTTCACGGGTTTAATCCTTAGTACTATGGAAACAAGACCACCAACAATAACAACAGCCAGCCAGGGTGACTTGGCTGCAGGTGATGTCTTAGCGTGTGGGGCCCTGGGCTCAATCCCCAGGAGCACATGGAGGGGCAGGAGAGTAGGCCTCGGGGTGCAGTTGTGTGATGGCCAACCTTCCGAATGACTGGAATCATTATGTAGCAAACATGTATTAATAAAAATAAAAATTAAAAAAATATTTTGAAACAGACAGAAAGCTGTATGTTTGGGCAAGGCTGGGGGCTTGGTCTGTATTGTGTCCGGAAGGTGCAGACTGGCACCCCTGCTCAGCGGCCGGCCACGTGACGGTGCGCTGCCCCGCACCCCGCTACCCTGCTTCCCGGCTTCTGCCTCCCCCTCCCCCCCGCAGGTGTGCGCGGGCCTGCGCATCCGCTGCCTGCGCGTGCGCAGAGTCCCGAGTGGCTGCCTCCCAGCCCAGGCCAAGCCAGGACTCTGCCTCCAGTGACCCTGCACTGCAACGCGGCCGATCCTGGACCTTCCTCCGCACTCCGGGTTTCCTGATTGGATTCCTGCCTGGCCTCCTACCCGGCAGCGTCCCCAGCTCCCCGCACCGGACGCTGAGGTGCCTGCGCCTCCTGATCCTCTCCTGCCCCCTTGTGTGAGGCGGGCAGCCGCCCAGGGCACAGATCGCGGCCCCCGCCCACTGCCCCGTCCCCTTGGTCACCGCGCCACACTGATTGACGGCTCTCCTCTCCTCTGCTGCCTGTCCCCTGCCTCTGCCTCGCGTGGGTCCCTCGCTCATTCAGTCCCAGCCAGGGTCTGGGGACAGGGCGGGGAACGAGCCAGGGGTGACTTTGCCCCCATAAAGGACGCTAATGTGACCGGCAGACACAGTGCAGGCTCACAACGCACAGAAAGACGGAAGGACCACGCTGACCGAAAAGGTCAGACCAAAGCTGTGCCCGAGGGACAAGAGTCCAGGGAAGCAAAGGCCCACTCAAGAGAGTGCTGGAGGAGCCCCAGCAGGGCTGCTGGCCAGAGGGAGGCCCAGTGCTCTGGCAGCAGAGGGTTTCCCAGCGCTGCAGGGGAACCCGGGCCCCTCACGGCCAGTCCACTGCTCTGCTGCTGAATGCCCCATCACAGAGATGT